ATAAAGGGCAAAGGAGGTTTGCTATTCTTTTAACTTAATAAAGGAAAGTGAAGGTGTGACTCACCAGTCCTAAACCAGGGTGTGTTCACCTTGGCACTATTGACACTTGGGGCTGATCATTCTCTGTCATGGGAAGGGAGGCTGTTCTAGGCACTGTAGGGAATCCCTGGGATAGCCTGGCCTTTGCCCACTAGATACCAGCAGTACCCCCTCACCACAGTTTTGATAACCCAAAATATCCCAAGATGTTGCCCAAATGTCCCTGGGGCAATAGCAAAATCACCCCAGCAGAGAACCCCTGTCCTAACTCTAAGGGACCGCAGAGAAGGGAGCCAGAGCCTGGAGACATGACCAGACTCAGCTACAGTCACAAGGAAAAGCACTCAAACTGTGGCCTCAGTAAGAAGGCCAGCACCGGCTCACCCCACTGACCCTTGGTCACAACAGGTGCTAATTCCCAAAGTCCAGTGGTTAAAGTCCTGGGAGGCTGTCACCACAGGGTGGAGCGGTGGGCCCTCAGAGAAGCCCCATGTACAGCTCTTTTTACCTATACCTGACTTGAAGGGCCCCTCGTCACATGCTGTCCTTCATCCAAACATCAGGGGAGTTGTGAGGGGCACCTCACCTTTGGGGGCTTGAACGGGTAATCCGTAGGAAAGTGGATGGTCAGGAAGAAAACACCTCCTTGGTAAGGACTGTCATTCTGGAATGATGAGACACAGGAAGAGATCAGTGCATGTGCTAAGCCCAAAGTGCAAGAAGCAAAACTGGAGTGGTGTGCTCAGCAGCTACTACCTACCGGGCCCATGATGGTGGCCTGCCAGTGGAACACTACAAGACAAAAGAGAGATGGGCATGTAAGAGACCCCCCAAGAAACATGTCTATTCTACTGAAAATGCACTGCTAAATTACAGGGCACTGTCCACACGAGATGCACTCACTTCTGACACCAACTGCAAGACTGGGGTTCCCCAAACCACCCAAGATGCGGTAACTGCCTAGGGCTCCCAGAGCTCACTGAAAGCGGGTGTGCTCAAGATTGCCGGTTATCCCAGGGAAACAGCATAAGTTAACATCAGGAGGGTCCAAACGCAGAGCTTCCATTCTCTCTCCGTGGAGTCGGGATGTGTTACTCTCCTGGCATTGCTGTACAGCAACACACACAGAGTACCCAATCAGGGATGCTCACTGGAGCCTCTGTATTTAGAATTCTTATTGGGGCTCTACCCTGAGAGCATGACTGACTGATGTGAATGCCCATAGGGCTGATCTCAGGCTCCAGTCTCCGGCTCCTCCAGGCATGATCCAAGTCCCCACCTTATTTTTTTATTTTTTTGAGATGGTCTCACTTTGCCACCCAGGCTGGTGGGCAGTGGCATGATTATAGCTCACTGCAGTCTCAAACTCCTGAGTTCAAGCTATCCTGCCTCAACCTCCTGAAGAGCTGGGACAACAGGTATGTGCCACCACATCTGGCTAATTTTTTTACTTTTTTCATTTTTGTAGAGATGGGGTCTTGCTATGTTGCCCAGGCTAGGCTCTCACCTTAAATCACATGGTTGGTCTACTTGGTGTGGCCATTCCTCACCCTAAATCACATTGTTGGTGTGCATCAAAGCTTCCAGCCAAACAAAGACATTCCTATCAGGTATGATATCTTAGAGATCACCCCCTACGTGTTAAGGATGATGGCCAGATCTTTTGGAGACAAGATTAAATTTTTTTTTTTTTTTTTTTTTTTTTTGAGACGGAGTCTCGCTCTGTCGCCCAGGCTGGAGTGCAGTGGCCGGATCTCAGCTCACAGCAAGCTCCGCCTCCCGGGTTTACGCCATTCTCCTGCCTCAGCCTCCCGAGTAGCTGGGACTACAGGCGCCCGCCACCTCGCCCGGCTAGTTTTTTTTTGCATTTTTTAGTAGAGACTGGGTTTCACCATGTTAGCCAGGATGGTCTCGATCTCCTGACCTCGTGATCTGCCCGTCTCGGCCTCCCAAAGTGCTGGGATTACAGGCTTGAGCCACCGCGCCCGGCCAAGATTAAATTCTTTATGTTGCTGTTGTTTTGTAGAGATGGGGTTTCACTATGTTGCCCAGGCTGGGCTCAAGAAATCTGCTAGCCTCAGCCTCCCAAAGTGCTGGGATTACAGACGTGAGACACTGTGCTTAGCCAAGATTAAATTCTTTACTACACAAATGCCAGTGACTACAATTCAGTCAGTTCTTTGCACAGAATTGAAGCCTTGGCTAGCTTTCAGCCATTTTCCTTACCGCTCTGTATAAACCCTTCTATTCCTTGGTTCTTCCCCTGATTTATTCTGAAGCCCTCTTCAAAGAGTCTCTCTCAGGAGCCAACTGCCCATGGCCCTGGAGCCTCACGGGTGCTGCCTCCATCTGAGCCCTCTCCTGCCCACCCCCTGGGCAGTGCCCTGTGCTCTGGGCACTCAGTAACAAGGTCACGATGAACCCCTCTCATGCTTCCCTTCCAGGTCGCCACCATTTGGCGGGAGTTTAGAGCCTCTTCTTGCTGCACATCATACCCTACACCCTTTCCAGCATCTCAGGTGACTTTCACCGCTCTACCCATTCCCAGAACAGCTCCTGTGTTTCAGCAAGGCTAGCCTAGTGTGGCCCAAACACTCACATTCAAGGTTCCCAAGTCATACAAATGGTCCCAGGGATATTGACTCTAGGGCCTTTGTGGAAAATGCCTACTCACCCACAGGAATGGGTTGCTGGGATCATCTGAAGGGCCTGTTATTCTCAAGAGAATTCTGTCTCATATGGATTCATAGTGGATATGGAATTAGCCCAAAGTTTCAGACCTGGTCCTGTCCTGGGCTTCCTGTCACCTGTTTAAGTATCCCACAGGCTCTACCCAACAGGAGGCCCAGGAAAGCACCAAGGTTTGGGGTGGGAGCACAAGTGCAGGGACTAAAACAGAAGTTTCCTAAGCCCCTAGAGGTGTTCAAAAGTAGTCAGGGTGGCCCATGAGCGCTTTTCAATATTTCGAAGAAATGGTGGTGAACAGAACACCTTTACCTATAATAAGGCTGCCTGAGTTAATGAAAATATCACTTTTTTTTTTTTTGCTTTGACTGTTTTTCTTCCAATTCATGCTAATCATTAGTTGAAAGTAGATATATCTTTGCCCAATGTTAATGTGAATGGAATTCTTTATTAAATAAAAGTGTTTTTGATAATATATTTTAGAACAGGTTAGAATCCTCTGGTCTTGTTCACTTTAACTCTGAGGGCTGCTGGGACACTAAGCAGGGCTTGAGGGCAGAGTCAGAAGAGAAGGCCCCAAAAGCAAGAGGATGAGAAAAGATATAGAGGAGGGATGCTGGAAATGGCTGTGAGCCCACGAGGCGGGTGTGAAATGGCCCCAAAGGCTAGCTTCCACCCACTGAGCTCTGACTGTGGTGGCTGGCCTTGACGCTAGCCTCTCTTAGCCTGAGCTCTGGTGCAAGGTAAGTCTGAGCTGAGCTGAGCATCAAGGAGCTGCCTCTAGACAGCTAAGGCTAAATAAGAACTAGTTCAAGTTTACAGCAACCCCAGTTTAATCTGATATTGTCTTAAGTGACAGGTAAGAGGGGAAGCATGCTATAGAGACCTGGGGTGCTTGTGAGGACAACATGAGGTAATCGCTGATTAGTGAGAAGCAGAGTGATGAGCAGGTACCAGGAGACAGTGGAGCAGAGTCGTTCTTGTTTCTCACACTCTGCATAGGCAGCTGGGAAACATTTCTGCTCTGTTCCAAAAACGAGATTTAAACTCCCACGTAAAGACTTTAGAGTCCTCCATTTTCAGTGGCTCCATCTGCCTACCCCTGGCTCCTCTAAGCTCAGTCCCCTCCCAGGACATGCAGGCACACATATGTTGGCATGCCCTCTTTTTTTCCAGCTTTGTGAAATTTCTTTTTGTTTTATTGTAGTAAAAAATATATAATAAAATACGCAATTTAAACAACTTTTAAGTGTACAATTCTGTGGCATCGTATGCCTTCATGATGCTGTAGAACCATCCCCCCATCCATTTCTAAAACTTTCCATCACCCCCAACAAATTCTGTACCCATGAGACAATATTTCTCCCATTTTCCCTCCCGTCAGCCTCAGGTAATCTCTTATCTACCACCTGTCTCTATGAATTTGCCTAATCTAGATATTTCATGTAAGTGGAATCATATATTCATTATTTTCTTTCTGGCTTATTTCACTTCGCAGGTTTTCATGTTGTAATGTATATCAGAACCATATTTTGTTTATCTATTTTCCACTGATGGGCACTTGGGTTGTTACCAGCTTCTGAAAATCATGAATAGTGGTGCTGTGAACATTGGTATACACATTCTGTCTCAGTCTGTTTTTGATTCTTTGGTATATGTACCTCTGACACCACTCTCCTTGAACACATAGTATCTCCCCTCCCCACCTACTTTCCTGTGGCTGCAGTTACTGAAGCCTCACAGGGAAGGATTGGTGTTCCAGAGCCCAAGAAGCCCGCAAAGTGGAGGCAAGGTGAGTGGGCAGAGGACAGACCTGGAAACCCTAGTGCTAGGCAGCTCAGCCTCGGCTACCACCTGTGAGGGACGGCAGAGGCCTAGAATAGGTAGTGCTGCTTCTCCCTCTCTCTCCCGAGAAGCTGCCCAGAACTGCTCCTTCAGTCTCCCCCAGGGAAGAGCGGAAGTGGGAGAAAATAATAGGGATTGCCCTTCCCCTTGGCAGAGGCAAGTGGCCACTGCCCTACCCTGCCCTGCCCCTCCTCGGCTGTCCTGCTCTGCTCCCAGGAGCTGCAGCAGCACCAGGTCCTCTAGACCAACTCCAACAATATTTACACCAGCACCCAAGTTTGACTTGACCAAGGGCACTTTCCAGCAGCTGATGTGACTCCTCAGGCCAAGCTGGCTTTCTCTTGCACCAGAAGAGGGAAGCGGTGACTATAGGACATGAGAGGCAATGCAGGTTCTACTTTGAGTATAACCTGACCAGCCAAGCTGCTGTGAACTCATGGCCTAGACCTCAAACGAAAAAGCCATTCACAAGCAAATGAAGGGAAAATAACTAACTGGTTTTCTTAAATACTGCTTGGCTGATAATTTGGTTGTTTGGTTTTGTTTGTTTGTTTGTTTTTTAGATGGAGTCTGTTGCCCAGGCTGGAGTGCAGTGGCACGATCTCGGCTCACTGTAACCTCTGCCTCCCGGGTTCAAGCGATTCTCCTGCCTCAGCCTCCCAAGTAGCTAGGATTACAGGCGCATGCCAGCATGCCCAGCTAATTTTTGTACTTTTAGTAGAGACAGGGTTTCGCCATGTTAGCCAGTCTAGTTTCAAACTCCTGACCTTAGGTAATCCACCCACCTTGGCTTCCCAAAGTGCTAGGATTACAGGCATGAGCCACCACACCCGGCCTAAATTTGGGGATCTTAATTACAATCCTCCTACAACCTGAAGCCCCCCAAAATACTTACAGTCATCACCCACAGGTCCCGCGGAACACTGGGCAGGAGGATCCCTCTGCAAGTCGGTTAATTCCTAGAACATGAGATAGTGGGTCAGAGTGGCTGTATGTTGGGGATTCTGCCTTTACACACCAATCTTGGTAGCTGGAAGGAATTCTCCTGGTGGTAGGAGGCTCCTAGGCCTCAGGAGTGGGTTAGAGACAAGATGGGTCATAGAAGTCTACTCCCTGCTGTAAAGATACCAGAGAAGTAGGTATGATCATTTCCATTTTATACATTAGGAAATTGAATTGTAAAGAGATGAAGTTACCTACTCAAGGTACACAGCTGGAAGAGGGCAGGCAAGAAGTCAGTCACACGTAGCTCTGCCTTACCTCCAAGCCTAGCCTCCCACCTCCTCAGGTAGAAGACATCCCTAGGCCCCCAGGTGCTGAGGATACGGAAGGAAAGCAGACCAGAAGAGAGTTCTGGGAGAAGGATAGGTGCCAGGTTTTACTACTAGGCTAATGAATTAATGTATGGAAGCAGTTAGCACCAAGGAAGCGCTCATCTCTCTACTTTGCCTCCCCAACCACCATCCCAATCACCCCAGTCACCACTGGTTATGTGGTAAGTCCTAGGGCTCTGAATGTGGAGACTTTGGCACTTGAGCCAAAGTCTAACACTGCACCAGTGGGGATCGGGGATTATACCACAACTAGATTCCCTTTATGGGAAACCATCTCTGAATTAAGCCAAACACTGTCCTATCTACACAAACTCTCCTGATTTCACCATATGTCTCTGGACACGCTGATCATTTCAGTAACCACCTCTGGCCATCCTGCATTTATCCCCTTCACTTCAAATTTAATCAGCCAAGATGGAAGTATTAACATCACAGAAGCCAACAAATGCTACAAATCAGGGCCATGTTTTCTCCCCGAGGGTTGATCTTTAAACATCTACCAGTATACCACTGGCCAATTCTAATAGTATCTAATATATCTGAACCCATTTCCTCATAAGTAAAATGAATTATACTTGGAAAGCACTCAGGAAGCAGCATTAGGAGTGGTCAAAAAAGAATTTAACTTGGGAACAACTGAGGTCATGCAAGGGGACCGAGGACAGGCTCGGAAATGCAAGAGCTACAGAAATCTCTGTGGAACATTTCCTTTTTGCTTACCTCTCTGCTATGTGCCCCTCAGCACCTCCACTATCATGGTGCAGGGGAATTGTTTACATTCGTTGCGATACTGCATGGATAAATGAGCTCTATGATAGAACCACTAAGGCAAATCCTGAAGAGGTTACATGAAGAGCCAGGGGCAGGAAAAGCCAGCAGTACAGACCAATTCCCTCTACCTCACAAGGTTTTCCCACACCTCTATGCTTTTGCACTGCCAGTATGCAGAATCCATGGCCCCTTTAGAGGTGTGATCAACAGTTACACCCACACTTAATGATCCCTGAAAGGCCGTGTGTGGATTCCCATTGATAGACTCCAACCAGCACCCAGGAGTTTTGAATGCTAACTGGCATTTCAAGGAAGAATGGTGTGACTTGAAAGAAACTAGTCCACTCACACATCGAATTCCTGTGTTCACCTCACAGGGTTAGAAGACTCAGGTCTGAGTCCGAGCTCCATCACTGAGGAAATCACTTTCACCTCTTTGGGCCTCAGTATAATTATCTGTTAAGCTGTAATCATACTTGCCTGCCAACTTGCCGGCACTATTGTGTGGCTACAAATTTTGCATGTAAGTTTTTAATGTATATAATGTAAGCAAGAGCAACTAGTAAATATCATGACAATAGTGGTATAGAGAATGCCACAATTAGTATTATAAAAAGGGAGAGGAATAAGTAGAATATATATATATTTCTAGAAGAATACTTCGACACTGGTTGCCCCTCCAGGAGGGGAATTGGATGGCTAGGGACAGTCTTGGGCGGGAGACTTTTCCCTGTATATCCTTTGCACCTTTTGAACCATAGGAATTTATTATCAAATCATTAAATGTATAAATATTTTATTTATTGTAAAGGATTAAGTAGGTTAAGTTTATATAGTAATTACTATTACAAGTAACAATGATAAAAGTTGAGAAGTTCCAAAAAAGAGAAAGTAAGTTAAAGTATTGAATATTAGTAGAGAAGAGTTAAGCAAACCATGCTACATACCCAGTTATTTCTTAACTGTGTTCCATCAACTCCAAGACTCCATCCTTTGTAAGACACAATTTTACTTTACATACAATTGGGGGGGGTGGGGAACATGCTGGCAAATAAGCTAACACCAAATGCTTTCTTTGCACATAAACTTTAATTTTACTTAAAAATTACTTTTATTAGACTGTGTACAGTGGTTCACACCTGTAATCCTAGCACTTTGGGAGGCTGAGGTAGGCAGATCACTTGAGGTCAGGAGCTCGAGACCAGCTTGGCCAACACTGTGAAACCTTGTCTCTACTAAAAATACAAAACTTAGCTGGGCGTGGTGGCACGTGGCTATAACCAGCTATTCAGGAGGCTGAGGCACAAGAATCGCTTTACAGGGTGATGCCATGGGCAGGGCGGAGTGTCTGGGGTCTTTTGGGAGCCTCCAATCCCCAACAGTTTTGCAGAACACTGATATCTATGGACTCTAAAATGGACTTCATTTAAAGAAACCCACAGACCATTAATGGACAAAAACATGAATCAATATGTATTGTGGCATTCCAATTCTAGCACTGTGGAAGAGCATCAAGTACAATGTTTTTGAAGACCATGGCCTATCATCATTATGCATTCAAGATCTGAGTTTGAATAACCTCATCAAGACTTAGATCTTCTTCAAAAGCTTCAAGTCTCATTTGCATTAAAGCTCTCCATTGAACCCTCTCACAAAAGTACAAGCTTAAAGGGAGTAAAATCCATTAATACATTCCATTTGATATCCCTTCTTCTGACTTCTCTTCAATTTCCTTGGCCTCTGGGGCTTTTTGTATTGCTTATGTTCTTTTAGAGCCAAAGTGACAGTGCTTTCCAAAAAAAGTGTGTTCTGTGGCCATAAGTTTACACAGATAGAGAAGCATAAATTTAGCATGATGAATTTAGAATTAGGTCTTTTATGGTATTCTGTAAAAAGTTGAATTAACAATAAGAAAATGAGGATGAAGCAGTAAAAATATTTTGGGTTAGATTATACTCTCAGAAGCTATGTGGTTTAGAGAAAAGGGCCTCCAACCTAAAAGTTAATAGTTACTATTTTGTCTTTGCCTTGTACTAGGTATAGGTAACTGAGAAAGTCACTTAACCTCTCTGAATCTTAACTTCATTATCTATAAAGTGTAGCTGATATTTTCCCCTCCCTACCTCACAGGGTCCTTGTGAGGAACAAGTGAAACAATGTACAAAAAGAAATATAAAATGTATAGTACAGACAAAGGGTCCTGTTACATAGTTGCAAATCATTCCCTCAGATCTTGGGCCTAGGAAGGTAGGTGATTTAAGCTCATTGAAACATGTACCATGTCCAGGCTGGATACATGGTAACAAGGCTATGTTACATTTTTTTTTTCTCTGAGTTGAGTACCTAAAATACCACATGGGCTAATTCTAAGAAGGAGTACCAATATCTATTTTCCTATAATTATAGCTTAGCATTGTTAATGCTCTAGAGCAGTTATGCATTGTAACATATTAGTGATTTGTGAAATATTTTTACTAAAACGTGACCAGCATTTTTCTTTAAATGAAAGAATGTAGAACATTTCACAATGCATCCCACATGATAAAGAGCAAAATAAATTTTTTTAGTTGTATGTACATATGTGTGTGTGTGAATGTGTGTGTACTTGGTCATTAAATAAGAAGTATTTTTTCTTCCTGTGGGGGGGGGGGGGGAAAGAATTGCTTTAGCCCCGGAAGGCGGAGGTTGCAGTGAGCCGAGATTGCTCCTGTGTGACACAGTGAGACTCTGTTTCAAAAAATTAAAAAATTAAAATTACTCTTATCAAAAGAATTCTTTTAGGCTTAGACATAGCTTTGTGTGTTTCTTTTTAAGTATCATTCATGCATCCAAAAAAAAAAAAAAAAACAAAGGAAAAACAAGTGAAATAAATAAACTGGTTTGTTCAGGTATTCCTAAAGTTTCTTCCCATTCAGAGCCCAACACTGAGTCATTGATGTCTACACAATATCATCCTCTGTGTCTTCTAAAACAATGGTAATGTGGCAATTCTTAGAGTCCTCTACTACTGTTTCTGGAGTTTTCTTTCAAGACATCAATACTTATTCTGCAAATGCCCATGATACACAATCTATTTGCATGTATTCCAGCAAAAAAAAAAAAAAAAAAAAAAAAAAATGACCCAGGCTTACCAAGTTGAGGGTAGGTGGTACCTTCCTTTCTCGGGCTATGAAGAGTTTGGTTGCTCGACACAGAATTAGGAAATTCCAGTCCTTCCTCCAACAACAAATATTTGCTTCACTAGTATGAAATTTACTCTTCACTGTCCTGTTTCTGTGCCTGTGTTCATGAAAGCTTTTCTTTTCAGTGCTAAATCACACTATCTTTTTGAAAATATTTTTAAAACAATTGAACTCAACAAATACAGTACCAGCAATGCACTTACCTCATAATGAACTGCCATGATCCAGTTTACTCATATAGATAGTGACAACTAAGTGAAGGTAACCTGGCTGACAGCTATTGTAAGAAGCATCCCAATTTTAGAGATGTGAACATTTGAAAAAATATTCATCTTGAAGTAGATGAATACGGCATTATCTTACTTCCAAGTTCTCTTTATTTATTTTTATTTTTATTTTTTATTTTTTTGAGACAGGGTCTCACTCTGTTGCCCAGGCTGGAGTGCACTGGCACCATCTCAGCTCACTGCAACCTCTGCCTACCAGGTTCAAGTGCTTCACCCTCCAGAGTAGCTGGGATTGATTACAGGTATGCATCACCATGCCCGGCTAATTTTTGTATTTGTAGTAGAGATGAGTTTCACCATGCTGGCCAGGCTGGTCTTGAACTCCTGACCTCAAGTGATCCTCCTGCCTCAGCCTCCCAAAGTGTTGGGATTACAGGCGTGAGCC